TCGTTCGGGGTAACCATATCGGTTCTCCCCCATCCTAGCATCAGCACTGCACTGATGAGGCCCAGAAGGCCGAAACAGTACTGTCTGCAGTTAGATATAGCTCTTTGGCATACAAAGCTCTGCTTTCATGTCCAAATTGAGCACTGTGGGGTGAGTCATTGCCGCTAGCATTGCGCATAGCTCACTAGGCTTTCCTAGTTTGAGCACTCTGGCATGGCTTAGACGATACCACAAATGTGGGATCGTTCGGGGTAACCATATCGGTTCTCCCCCATCCTAGCATCAGCGCTGCACTGATGAGGCCCAGAAGGCCGAAACGGTACTGTCTGCAGTTATATATGTACATATATATATATATGTATGTATATATATGTAGTAGCAAATGGACTAGTCAAGTTACGCACATATGGATTTTAATACAGCCTGTTTCGTAGACCAACAAAAGTTGATCCACTCATCAGTCAAACTCAATACACACTGAGGCATCGTGACGGTTAACTCATCGTGAGAGTTTCATTGAAATATATAGATAAAACCTTTTAGAGGAAAGGAATCTTACGTAGACTTCAAGATGTCCATTGGTTGGTCCAGGAATGAAGACTCTATCAGCGTCCTGGTTCTTTTCGTGATAATAATACACAATAGTCCCCGCAGCGTGTTTAGATGTACTCCATGTATACATCACCGGGTATACGTCTTTTCCAGATCCATCTTTTACACCTTACGTCGTAAATGGAAAAATGAAAAAAAAAAAAAGGAAAAAACAAAACTGTTCACAGGAGTGACTCACATAGCTGCCGTGACTTTTCGCTTTCCATACCATGAATCCTTGCAGTACTACCAACCATACTACTCTGAATATCTGACCATTCCCACCACCTAAACTGTAACTAAAACTACCGCTTATTGCAGTTGTCACCCACTTCAGTTTTCCCTCTCCAGGGTCTGTGTGTGTACATATGAGTCTACACTTATATGTCTAAATGATTCCACTGGAAAGTTAAAACTTTATCAATCGAACTGAAAAAACCCTTACCCAGAAAATTCCAGTCTTCCACTTCTTCATTGACCGTTATATTTGTTGCGCCGAAAGGAACGTCCAAAACTGTGCAACTTCCTAAACCATTGAAATCCAGAAATTTTGTTAGGCTTTTTGGACTACTAATATAAGGATAGGCGGAGTAATCAGGAGAGCACAACGGACCCGATCCTTAAAATAGCCACTCCCTAGCCTTGTTAGAGCTGGCTGGCAAATTTTCGAATAGGTGAGAATCTTGTGGGGTTGGGACGGCATCATAAGAATACTGATTAATTATCAAATATGGCGTTTCAGAACTCACGCTGCTGTTTGTGGAGGAAATAAACTTTTCAGTTGAAAAATTTGTTCGTTGAGTCCGCCAGATGAATGTTAGAAAGTGGATTGATTTTAGGTTTTATTTCTTTAGCTTCCACTATCCATGCGTATGATTAATTTAACCTTCTTCGCGAGTTTAGTGAGTCAAGATCGTTTTCAGGTGAGTTTAGTGCTCACGGCTGTTGCTCCGAGTTATAACTGCCATGCAGGATTAAAAGATAGAACAAAAGCAGAAACAATAACGAAAGGCATTCTAAAGCTGTATTTATCATTTCAGGTTGCTATGTGATGATGTGTTTATCACTGAGGTCGTAATCTTCGTACCTAGCCACCAATAGAACACAAGTGAGAACCAATCAAATCGCATAAAGTGATGATAAGGATACATATTTCAATAATCAGGGAATAAGTATTCAAGCGGTCAGTCGTTTTCCAACAAACCTTTACAAGGCGTTAGTACTTTGCCGAAGACCTTTTTGCAGGTTGTACCGTCTCCGTTACAAACTTTACAGCGATCGTACTTCACACCAGATTCCAGGATATTGTCACAGCCAACGGACTACAATAAAAAGAAAAAAATTGACCCAGGTAGGTACTTCTACTTGTTATTAATAGATCTATCATAGGTGTTGATTACTTAATTGATTTTATATAAATTATATATGGTAAGATTGATTTCATTGTTATGTTGTATGGTTTTGTTTGTTTTGAATGTCTTGAGAACTTGTCGTTCTGAAATCTAAGGCCAAATTAATGAAATGAATGATTTTCATACTTTTTGCAATTGCTGACAAACCTTGCATTTGCCTTCGATACAAACATCTTTAATTTTACTGTCCAGGCTACATCGTGTTCCATCTTTTACGTTTCCAAATGGCTGGACTTTGGAGCCATACTTACAGAGCAACACACAGGGATGTCTTCCTGCCGTGGGAAGACAAAGGAAAAACTTGTAGTGATTTGTACAGTATCGATAAATGTATTAGGGACAATACCAGACCACGATTACCAACTGAGAAACTCCATTACAATCTTCGACCAAGTGAAAAAAACAGGAAAATATCACTTCCTCATTCCCAGTCCTTTTCGCAGCCCTAAGTCGTGTTGCGCAACTCACGCTCTTTAGTGAAAGCGCTGCATGACAGAACCAAACAACGTATGTGCATGCAAAAAAAATAGACAGAAGGGACAGGGGAAGCTTTTATTTCATGATTACCATTTCCAGAGAATTGTATAAACCATTCAGTTTTGTCGCTTAGAAGGAACTTCGTACGTTCGTACTTTGAATGTTTAAATACTTTATACTTACCAGATAACTCATATGGAGCTGATCTTGACCATTTAGAGGTGCACTGTGCCTCTCGGTGGGTTGGTGTTCCCTCTGGACAAGCCTGTCATAAAAGATCTTACAGTCAGAATATAGTTTTCATGTACTGGAGTCCGTCTGGATATTGAAATTAGACGGACTCCATACGTGCAAAACTTTTTGTTTAATAAATTTAATCATCTTTTTCTCACGTTACAGCTTTTAATCAGCCATTGTTTTTTTTAAGTATTTATAGACTGGAACTCACAAACATATTTTGACTTGATAATGACGTTTAGCCAACGTCGAAACGTCGTCGTCTTTTAGGAATTGTTTTAATCTTAAAATGATTTTAAGGAATGTTTTATCGCAATTTTTTATTGTTAAATGCTTCTCAAAATCAATTCTTGTTCATTGTTATTGTCATTAAAACAATTACCTCTGGATTGCATATTCTCCAATGTCCTACATTCTCCCCTTTGCAATCCATGCCTCCATTTTGTGGTCTATAAAAAGAGTCAGAAAAATAAGTAGGGGGTGTAATAGAAAGTTTCCTGAAAATAATCAGAAAAATTATCATGATAGAAAAAGACAGAGACAAAAGTGAGTGAAACAAGAAAACCTACAAACGGACAGACGGACAGACAACAGTCAGACATAGAAATACAGAGACCGACGTCCCCCCCTTACAAATCTTCCCCCCTGAGGTGATGAACACTGATTGGCCCCCAACTAACCAATTGTGCGGAAACGGTAACTACACTGTAGTGTAATTTTTCAATCCTATTGTGAGGACTCAAAATGAATTGTGGTTGATTGCTCATGAACAAACAGTGAACAAACAGGAACAGATCGGAAAGGCCATCATCTATTTCCGGCTGGAGAGACACTCAACTTCAAATGAGTGTATTTCAATCAAATGCTGTGCTCACAAATTGCTATGGAGAAGAGGTTTCAGTAGAAAAACGGAAAAGAAAATATACTCACGGGGGGTTAGTGCAAGTTCGTGTTCTGTACTGTACACCACCCCCACAGGAATATGAACATTGTCCATAGCCTGACCACTGACTCCACCCTCCGTCAGTCATCGGCGATCCGTCATCAACACATTCTCCTTTAATGCACCACTTGTGATCAAAGGACATATCGATTAGTCCAAAATGAAGGTACACCCCAAAAAAGGGAGAATAAAGTTAGAGGAAAATTTGAGAGGGGAAATTTCGTCATAAAAATTATTCTAGCACAAATGCGACTTTATGGTATTGCTTACCTGTCTATCACCGCATTTTGAACCATCTGCCTGTTGCACAACACTACTTACACAAGAGGTACCGCCGTCCTTTGTACAATACAATGAGATGCAATTCGACTGGAGAAAACGAAATAATGATTGTTACATTTTTATTTCTAAGTTAAAATGGGGAAAGCATCCCTTCCTTTTAGCATATAGAGTAAAACTAATGCTATGTAGCTTCCTCTCAAAACTGAAATCTCATCAGTTTTTCGCTTGGATTTGCATTACGGGAATTTCCAACCGGGGGTAAAGATACTTTTTTAAATACGTTGGTTTTTTCTCGAATCACTCCGTGATTAGTCAAAGAGACTCGCAACGTCCTGTCAACCAATCAGATATAAAAACAAATCCGATAGCCCTTGGTCGCCTGCTGGTTCCCACGTTAGAGGTATTTTACATGTTTTACGTTTGAATCTCCATTGGTCCCTGAATATTAATTCCTGCGCTGGTTTTTGGTGTTTTTAGGTTTTGGTTGAGGACACTCCGTAGAAATCGCTCTAAAATTTTACTTTACTAACCCAAAAGGTGGAAAAAATCAAAGAATATCAGTCGGTCAGGAGAATCGAGTATGCGATCATCAAAGAATAATTCCCAGACTTTTATCAAATTTTCATAAGTAATGTTTAATTTGAATAATGTCTACAGCAGACATATAAGAAGAATTTCATCTACTCCGTTTGTTGAAATACGGGCTTATAGGTTTTTTGAAAATCTTAGAAACCAGTCATTATATATCACCTAGGGGTGGGGGTCGGAGGATTTTGGAGAGTCACATGCTTTTCAGGGGGGACGGAGGGGGATCAGCATCACCAAAAGATTATTAAGGGGAACACTATGGAAAACTGACTGCCAATAAACCGCAAATTGGGTGAGGAGGTCAGAGGATTTTTTTTAAGCAATGACATACATTTCTGGGGGAACGGGGGGAATCATAGTCAGCCAGAAACGTTAAAAGGAGTACTATAGAAAACTGTCAATAAACCTCCAACTG